TAAGCTTTACTGGTTCTACTGCTGTTGGAAAGAGGCTGATGTCAGAGAGTGCATCTACGGTGAAGAAAGTCAGCATGGAATTGGGTGGTTTGGCACCTTTCATTGTTATGGAAGATGCAAACCTGGACTCTGCAGTTTACGGGCTGATTGCTTGCAAGTTNAGAAACAATGGTCAGACATGTGTCTGTGCNAATCGTGTTTATGTCCATTCNAGCATATANGANGAATTTACCCACAAAGTTGTNGAGAAAGTAAAGACCCTGCGGGTTGGGAATGGAATGGAACCCGGGGTGAATTTAGGACCTTTGATNAANGAGAAAGCAGTGGAAAAGGTGGANAGACATGTGAAAGACGCCTCATCAAAGGGTGCNAAGATTATTATTGGGGGCTCTCGACATTCACTTGGTGGTCTCTTTTATCAGCCAACTGTGATAACAAACATGGANGATTCCATGACTATGTCCTGNGAAGAAACTTTTGGACCTGTAGTTGGTTTATTCAAGTTTCATACGGAAGAGGAGGTTTTGAAAAGAGCAAACAGTACCAACTTTGGTTTGGCATCTTATTTGTACACCAGCGATTTAGCTCGAGCCTGGAGAATGGCAGAGTCATTGGAAAGTGGTATGGTTGGTTTGAANGAACCAATGATAAGTACATCTACTGTTCCATTCGGTGGAGTGAAAGAAAGCGGCGTCGGGCGNGAAGGAAGNAAATATGGAATGGCAGAATATGTNAACCTGAAGTATGTGCTAATGGGTGGCATTGTTTCTTCCATGTGAGTTTCAAAGTTATTCGTTATATTTGTATTCCGTTTTTGTCATGATTTATTTGGATAAGATTTTAGTTGAATAAAATGGATTTTTATTCAAGTTTATTATACGTTGCATAGCCATGAGAGTTAAACTTGGCATCAAAAGACAGTGCCTTCTTATGAGTTTTAGAGTCATATTAGACGGAATTTTTGCTGCATGTTTTAAAAAAGTCTCTTATATCAAATGAGAGTTGCACAACTCTTTTTTTTTTCTAGACCGTATTGCGCGAAAATCTTGAGTCTCTTTGCTCTTTGTTTTTTTCCTTGTGCAATGGAACTTGACATAGCTAGTGTGAAATTTGTCAGGTTTTTTTCATTTCCATAACAAAGAGATATTATGATACTCCAAATCTGCCTCGTCACTGACAAAAGTCAGCTGACTTCCTTTCTATAACAATCTGGCTTTTCGCTAAAAGGACAGTAGTTCAATAATTTTCATAAATATTCTATTTGTTTGAAATTTTGGAGAATTGCTTTAGCTATAGGATGAGTCTTTCTCATCGGCTCAAACCGAAATTGGGTTTTCCTACAGAATCATTCTATCATTCTATATTCCATTGAGAAATAAGTAACAGTCCTATTTTTGGTGCTTTGTAAAAGCTTAGATATTTCTCACCTGCAATTCTAATGTCCTTGTTCTAACAAAACGTTCAGTCGGAGGTTGTATACAAGAAAGACGGCAGTAAGCAAGATGCCCATTGCCGTTTTATTTTGATATCGAAATTGGGTTAATATTTTAAAAAATATTCCCTTTAGAGGACTTGCCTTTTGTAGAAATTTAACGAAAAATCAAAATGTAGATCAAGACTTGAAGAGATTGAATGAATTCAGCAACGTATTTGACAAAATGATCTTGTTTCTCAAAGTGTCGCTCCTTCAAGTTAATATGTTCAAGGCCAAGATGTTTTGAAAATTTCTTACTACAAGTAGAGAGTCCAAACATGCTCTTCGCATCTATGAAGGATATCAAAAGTAGACGAAGTTGATAAATATATCCTCACATACAATCTTTGGCGAATTTGTATACGGATATCAAACTACTCTGGGGTTCAAGACGAATACAGTACAAGAGAAAAAGTTCGATTACTCTAGGATTCTGAAATGATTTTACACACTAAATATATACAGCTGGTTATCCTATGATAACTAAATGCGTTTGGCTCAACATAGAATGAAGGCGTTTGTACGAACAAATACTAACATATA